TTTTTTAAAAAAAGGAAAGTTTTAAGCCTAATCTTAAAAGTAGAGCTAGTGCCTCCAAATCCAAACTGGAAGCTGGTTCCACAGAAGAGGGGCCTGAAAACTGGAGGCTCTGCCTCCCATTCTACTTTTAAATACTCTAGGAACAACAAGTAAACCCGCAGTCTGAGAGCAAAGTGTGTCGGGTCACAAATTTGGAACCCAATATGATAACCTTATCCCACTAACGCTGTGGAGGTCCAGCGTTTCAGATCCAATTAAAATCAAATCACTCAAAAAGGTCCTCTGGAAATGAGTGGAATTCTTTGAACAGAGTTTATTAAACAGTGACATATGAACAGCAGAACAGTACATTTACAGCAAAACAAACGATAGTGAAGCAACCCCAGGGTGTAGAGCCTTAAAACACAAACAGAAACAACACACAAAAGACAGACAGGAAAGAAGCACCAGCGGGGGATAATGACCCTCCTCCTCCTCCTGCAGGTACCCTTTCATCCTTCGTTCTTTCTTTTCATCTGCCACTTCTGATACATACGACCCCACACCATAACTTCTCACACACCAGTCTTTCATCCGTCATTGAATTTGTGAGTTTTATGGCCAAAGTCCAAAAGTCTGCAGAAAGGCAGTTAACAGTTAATCAATTCAACAATTATGTTGGGTGTGCATGCCAGACATAAACTGCTATCTATGCTGAGTAAGGATTTTTTGCTTCGCCTCCTGGCTTTTGAGGCAAGGACCAGAATCTCAGGTACATGCCCAACGAGGACCAGGTTTGTTTGCTGTACAGCCATAGAAAGGGCTGTCTGCTTTTAATGTACAGCCATGGAAAGGGAATACACATTTTATATACACATATATGTATAGGCCTGAATCCGCTCAGTGAGATCATTAACAAGACTGGCTACTGAATGGAACAGTTGTCAGCCACCTCCTGTACATGGATGACATCAAGCTGAAACTCAGTGTGGAGAAGACTGAAGGGATTGAATGCACAAACTCTTAAGACTTTATTTTGCCCATGTTTAATATTAGCAACTACAGTTATAACAGGATATATGGCAGAAAGTAAGGAGAAGTATAATAGGTTTATTTTAGGGTCTACCTTACAATATAAAGCACCTTGAGGTAACTGTTGTTGTGATTTTGCACTGTATAAATTCAATTGAATTATAATAGGTACCCTTTAAAGGGACGAATTTATAGGATCAGCCTGTCCAAACAGCTAATCTTGATATTTTTATTAGTCATAGCAGAATAAATTCTCATACTTTTACTGTTTTACTGTCATATCAGTAGTGCTATTAATTATTGGCACAATTTAGACATCACAATGTCTATGAAGGCCATGTGAAACTGCAAACTGCAAGAAACATCATCTAGATCACGGCAAAGACTACAGTTCACCTGGTCTGGTCCATTTAAGATTAAAGTGGGCTGTATGTGTCCCACAATGTAAAATGAGTTTTAATTCCCAGAGCGAGACGGGGTTTTTTCTATTGCAGAATGATGTAGTGTATTTGTATTTTTTATATAAGGTACTAATCTGATGTTATTGTCACAGAAATTTGGCCCGAACACATGCAAGTACCCATCAGGCAATTTGGACTGTCGATATCTGAGGACGCCATGCGCTCTCAAATCACTGTAAGAAACACTCAAAAAACGTTTCCTCTGACAATATTCAAAACAAAAAAATTATCTCGGATCATATTTCTTTGTCTCGTTTAAAACCTGATGTAGGTTTGCAGCCCACGTGCAGTGCATCCACACAGTGGGAACTCGTCTCTGAACAAAGTGTGTTACAAGATGAAACTCGACCGTGGACCGTCCACCCAAGGTAAAGAAAATATTGGGGCCTGTGGGTTCTAGCGGTAAAGGCACTGTGTGTGTCCAGCAGACCGTGGTGGTCAACAAAATGTTTGAACTCGACAACTATGAAGCTGGAAGTGTCTCACCAAC